AATGCCCTCCCCCCTCTTCCCCCACTCACCAACAGGCCCTGGTGTGTGATGTTCCCCTTCCCTGTGTCCAAGTGATCTCGTTTGTTCTGAGATTTCATATCTAGAAGGTGCATGTAGAGCGACTTGCCGCGCCGGTGTTTAGGCTGTGTTGGCTTGCTTCGCTCTCTCGTAAAATCGGGTTGGTCTGTGAGATGAGGCTGCGTTTGTGTCCATGCGTGCGGATGCACATGTTCCCTAGCAACAGACATGACTCATCCTTTTTATATGCCGTGCACCGTGAGTGAGTTCTCCGAGTTTGTTGTGTAGTAGTGCTGCAATTGGTTTCCTTGTAGCCAACCCAATGGGTTGTACATAGTCCATCTGATGCTGACATTTGGGTTGTGTTCTCCAAGTGCCTTGGCTCATTGGTGAAATTGTGTTGCAGTAAACATCACATGTGGCCAGTGTCCATTGAATCTATAAATTACCTTGGGCAGTATGGCCATTTTCACGATATTGATTCTTCCTATCCATGAGCATGGAATGTTCTTTCATTTGTTTGTATCCTCTTTTATTTCACTGAGCAGTGGTTTGTAGTTCTCCTTGAAGAGGTCCTTCACACCCCTTGTAAGTTGGATTCCTAGGGATTTTATTCTCTTTGAAGCAATTGTGAATGGGAGTTCATTCATGATTTGGCTGTTTGTCTATTATTGGTGTGTAAGAATTCCTGTGAGTTTTGCACATTGATTTTGTATCCTGAGACTTCGCTGAAGTTGCTTATCGGCTAGAGGAGATTTTGGACTGAGATGATGGGGTTTTCTAAATATACAATCATGTCATCTACAAACAGGGACAATCTGACTTCTTCTTTTCCTAATTGAATACCCTTTATTTATTTATTTCAGGCCTGATTGCCCTGGCCAGAACTTCCAACACTATGTTGAATAGGAGTGGTGAGAGAGGGCATCCCTGTCTTGTGCCAGTTTTTAAGGGGAATGCTTCCAGTTTTTGCCCATTCAGTATGATATTGGCTGTGGGTTTGTCATAAATAGCTCTTAGTATTTTGAGATACGTTCCATCAATACAGAATTTATTGAGAATTTTTAGCATGAAGGGCTGTTGAATTTTGTCAAAAGCCTTTTCTACATCTATTGAGATAATCATGTGGTTTTTGTCTTTGGTTCTGTCTATATGCTGGATTACGTTTATTGATATGCATATGTTGAACCAGCCTTGCACCTCAGGGATGAAGCCCACTTGATCATGGTGGATAAGCTTTTTGATGTACTGCTGGATTCGGTTTGCCTGTATTTTATTGAGGATTTTTGCATCGATGTTCATCAGGGATATTGGTCTAAAATTCTCTTTTTTTGTTGAGTCTCTGCCAGGTTTTGGTATCAGGATGATGTTGACCTCATAAAATGAGTTAGGGAGGATTCCCTCTTTTTCTATTGATTGGAGTCATTTCAGAAGGAATGGTACCAGCTCCTCCTTGTACCTCTGGTAGAATTCAACTGTGAATCCGTCTGGTCCTGGACTTTTTTTGATTGGTAGGCTAGCAGGCTCTGAAATTGAGAAAAAATACATCTTTTTGACAAAATTTGAATGTGTAAATTTTGAGTTAAAAAATAATGGCTTGGGCCAGGCACTGTGGCTCATGCCTTTAACCCCAGCACTTTGGGAGGCCAAAGAAGGCAGGTTGCTTGAAGCCAGGAGCTCGAGACTAGCTTGGTCAACATAATGACACTCCATCTCTACAAAAAAAAATTCAACTTTTTAAGTTAGCTAGGTATGGTGGCACATACCTGTAGTCCCAGCTACTTGGGAGACTGAGGCAGAAGGATTGCTTGAGCCCAGGAGTTTGAGGCTACAGTGAGCTGTGATTGTGCTGCTGCACTTCAACCTGGGTGAGAGAGCAAGATCCCATCTCAAAAAAGAAAAAAGCCAATGAAGATAAATCAAAATAGTAGGTGGCATTTGATATGGATTTTTAAAAATTGACCAGTAAAACTTCAATGTGTTATCAAGAGAGTAATTCATCCTAATAAAAGTAATTTCAGTAAATTAAAAATCAAAATAGCAAATGTTAAAAGCACTTTAATTGTACTTACATAGAAAGTGGAATAAGAAATTAAGCTTTTCTCAAGAAAATGCTTTCTGAAAACTTACTTTGTTTGTATAATTCAGATGCCATTTTAGGTTTAAAGTGTTGTCCAGGATCAAAATGCCTGATAGGGCAAAATGGTGGAAATCCAAACTGCAATATCAAAATATTCTCTCATTTAAAGTCTCTGTCAATAATGATATCTGATTGAATCTAGGCAAGTGAGTATAATATTACCAAAAGAAGTTTTGAAAAGCTGGAATTGTGTAAAAATGCTCAATTTCCTGAAAGTGGCAGAATAATGAAAATACACAAAGGACGGATATAAGATTATAGAATGCTGTGGTTAGGAATATTTACTTGAGACTACTTACAAGTCCATTTTCTCTTTCTCTCACTAAGAACACCAATCAGGGTCTTCAGGCCTGGAAGACTGAAGACATTCCAGCCAACAAAATGTCCATTGCATGGCAGCTACCACAATATGCCCTGGTTACAGCTGGGGAGGTCATGTTCTCTGTCACAGGTCTTGAGTTTTCTTATTCTCAGGTAAGTTTTTGCAAATAGAAGGTAGAAATTGAGACATTGATTGAAGGATGGTGAATTTTAATTCTAGCACTGACTTAAATAGGTATGTTATCTCTTTTGGCCTTGGGTACCTTATTTATGACCCTGAACATATATGACCTGAACATCTTGACTCCCTAGATCATGACAGTGCAGCATGGGAGTCTATGATTTTGGGGTTCTAGGAAAGAGATTAAAGATTAAAATGAAGAGCTGCAGAGTCAGACTCCCCATGTTCGAATTTTGACTGCATGACCTATTGTGTAACCTTGAGCAAGTAAATTACTATCTCTTCTCTGTAATGCTTTTTTTTTTTTTTTTTTTTTTTTTTTTTTTTTTTTCTGAGATAGAGTCTCGCTCTGTCACCCAGGCTGGAGTGCAGTGGTGCGATCTCAGCTCACTGCACTCCAGCCTAAGCGACAGAGAGAGACTCCATCTGCCTCCACGGTTCAGGCGATTCTCTTGCCTCGGCCTCCTGAGTAGCTGGGATTATAGGCGCACACCACCATGCCTGGATAATTTTTGTATTTTTAGTAGAGTCAGGGTTTCCCCATGTTGGCCAGGCTGGTCTATAACTCCTGACCTTGGATGATCTGCCCACCTTGGCTTCCCAAAGTGCTAGGATTACAGGCATGAGCTACTGTGCCCAGTCTGTAATGCTAGTTTTTAAATGTGTAAGAATACTAATAGAACTTATCTCTTAGGGTTGTAATGAAGATTAAATGACATAATGAATTTTAAAATATTCAATTAGGAGTTTCATCTTATTCTTATTGTTTGCATTATTATCACCCTCTGAATCAATGTGATAGCTGAACTTAATGAGGGAAGTTCTAACTTGAAAGTTTTTGTGGGAGAAGTTTCCTGGATGCATGGGGCATGAGGGCAGTGAAGGGAATTTGTTTACTTTCAAATTTGTGTCATCTCCAGGCTCCCTCTAGCATGAAATCTGTACTCCAGGCAGCTTGGCTATTGACAATTGCAGTTGGGAATATCATCGTGCTTGTTGTGGCACAGTTCAGTGGCCTGGTACAGGTATGGATCTGAGGGAAGCAGGATTCATTTCTACTCAAGGTTTTCCTCCAGCTTTCTCTTCTCCCTTTCCACCTATCTCTTTGTTTCCTGTATTCCCCACTCAGTGCTGTGATATGAAATGGGTTAGATACACAGACTTTACCAGGAAAACAGACATATGTAAGTGGCAATAATGACTACAATATACCTATGTGAGGAGAGGCCAGTGAACCCAGTCTTTGTCCAGCAAAAGTCTGGTTGAACTGGTGATCCCAGGTCAGTCTGCTCCCCAGTCCTCATCCTGTAAAGATCTCTTTAGTTTCAGGTTTCTCCATATTCTTCTCATATTTATTTCCCCCTGCAGTGGGCCGAATTTATTTTGTTTTCCTGCCTCCTGCTGGTGATCTGCCTGATCTTCTCCATCATGGGCTACTACTATGTTCCTGTAAAGACAGAGGATATGCAGGGTCCAGGAGATAAGCAGATTCCTCACATCCAAGGGAACATGATCAACCTAGAGACCAAGAAGACAAAACTCTGATGACTCCCTGGATTCTGTCCTGACCCCAATTCCTGGCCCTGTCTTCAAGCATTTTTTTTTCTTCTACTGGATTAGACAAGAGAGATAGCAGCATATCAGAGCTGATCTCCTCCACCTTTCTGCAATGACAGAAGTTCCAGGACTGGTTTTCCAGTACATCTTTAAACAAGGCCCCTGAGATTCTATGTCTGCCTGTCTATCAATGAACTCATTAAAACTTATGCAGTGTTGCTGGAGCTGGCCTGGCGTCTCCAAATGGCCATGAAAATACACATGTATAATGGAGATCATTCTCTGTGGGTATGCAAAGTTATGAGAATTCCTTTATAGGTAACTGGCATTTAGGACTGATGGCCCTAATTTTTGAGGTACTGATTTAGAGGTAAAATTGCAGAATAACAAAGGAATGGTATTTCTAGATTTTTTTTTTTTTGGAAGCAATGTAATTATGCTATTCACAGGGGCCTCAAGAATTGCTATGTATGATGTGATCTGGTCCAGCCAGGGCCTAGTTTGTCAGCTATCTAGGTTTGATAAGACTTTAGTAAATTTGTCAATACAAATCGTAGGAAGCAGAATGTCATTTTATTAAAACACAGGAGAAGTTATATCTTTCTGATTATGATAGTATTTTATTTGCTTATCCAAACACTCCTTTCTCAGTATGGATAGATCATGGAAACCAGATTAGAGATAGTAAACATTAGTAAACATGGTTCTGGAGAACAGTAACAGGTGTAAGTTATAGAAATCCTGAAGAGCCAGTCATTCTTTTACAGAGTACATTCTTCTTAGCCTCTATGGCACTGAACTGTGCCCTTCAGTGAACAGTTGTAGAAACAATAATTATAATTTGCAACTTTGTCTTATCAACCTTGCTGACCCAGTTTTTTCTTATTATTACACCTTGTCTTGCTTATTGCTGCAAATATTCAATAACAACAATGTTTCTATAAGTCCAACTTCCTTTATTAATGTTTCCATTTAGCCTCAAAAATAGCAAAATAGTAGTTCCTTTTTGATGTTGCTTTCCTGATTTACTTTTCCCATGTTTTAAATACCATTTCTTCCTTGAAGCCTAGAAATTTTCTTTTTATTCAAAAAGAGTTACATTAATGCCTAGGTTTGAGCTCCTAAAATGGAAATTGTAGTCAATAGAGGAGCATGGTCCTATATGAGGTTCCTATCAAAATTTTTGGGAGTAGGGGTGGTAGAGCATGAGGGTTTTGTTTGTGTATGTGTGTGGTCATGAAAAAAATTGAGAAACATTACCTCACACACAATGAATGAATCAGAGGACAGACACGGAAATGTCATGACTGTGCAGTGTGTTACTAGGAAAAAAGTTCAGAATCACTGTTCTAGAAAGCCTCATTTCCATTGGTTTTAAAACATTATTCTCATGTAGAACAGTGTTGGGTCTCATACTGTTAATGTTACCGGGTAACAATGTTAATGTTAACAGGTACCTGTTAATATTAACAGATAATGTTACTGTTAACAGGTAAGAGAAATTGCTCTAAGTGCCCAAGCTTTATATACTTCAGTTTTAATGACAAGCATTTCAGAAGTACAAGAGTGGCAGCAAGACCAACCCGTTTTTCCAGATATATTGATGTGAACCTGACCCTACTCCTTTAGAAGACAGCCTGTTCATTTTTAAATAGCTTTAACCCAAACTGTTCTATGACCATTGTTTCAAGAGACATTAACACAGTTCTGTAAATAGAAGTGTCTATGGACAAATAAGTTTGGGAAATGTGGCATACTGTATCCTTTTCTTAACATTTGCATATTAAAGACTCTGAGATATCCTGCAGTAAAGACATAAGATACCTTGTTTAAATTAACATGTTACAGTATTCTGCAGAACACTGGTTTGGAAAAAACTGTCGAGCAGTTCTTCCTTGTAAGTGCTGAGCTTCCTCTCTGAAACCTCCTACCATTGTTTTTTCCTCCCCTGTAACTAATAAGAAAAAGTATAACACCCGGCCGGGCACAGTGGCTCACGCCTGTAATCCCAGCACTTTGAGAGGCTGAGACAGGTAGATCACCTGAGATCAGGAGTTTGAGACCAGCCTGGCCAACATAGTGAAACCCCGTCTCTACTAAAAATACAAAAATTAGCCTGATGTGATGGCAGGTGCCTGTAATCCCAGCTACTTGGGAGGCTGAGGCAGAAGAATCGCTTGAACCCGGGAGGCGGAGGTTGTAGTGAGCTGAGATCGCGTCATTACACTCTAGCCTGGGGGACAAGAGCGAGACTTCATCTCAAAAAAAAAAAAAAAAAGAATAAGTATTACCCCCTTTTTCATGTGGCAGACGTTTAGCTATTTGGGGGGAACTTCCATGGCTCTTCCCTAATCATCAAGTATTCAAGTTAAAGATTCTCGGTTCCTGTAATGGTTCCTCACCAGGCATAATTTGTCCTTTTACCATCCTACTTTCTCTCTTCTGAAAAACATTCTTTATCTGAAATACAGCAATTAATATTAAGATATCTTAATATGAAATACCTGGAGTCAAATATAACATTCCAAAGTAGTCTGACTGGAAGAACTAGCACCTGCCTTTCTTCAAACAATACACTTCTGTTAATGCAGTGTAAGGTAACATGAGTTGTTTTTGGAAACTACGTCATAATGTAAGCTTATATTCTAGCACTTATCACTTAATGACAGGGATACATTTGAGGAATGCATTGTTAGGCAATTTTGTCATTATGCAAACATCATAGAGTGTACTTACACAAACCTATGGTATAGCCTACTACACATCTAAACTATGTGGTGTAGACTGTTTCTTCTAGGCTAAAAACCTGCACAGCGTGTTACTGTGCTGAATGCTGTAGGCAATTGTAACACAATGGTATTTGTATATTTAAACATATCTAAACATAGAAAAGGTACAAAAACTTTACACATTATATAGATGTATCAAATTATATGTATTCTGAAAATGTCTATATCTATTATGTATCAATTTTTTAAAAAGTGAATGACATAATAATTCTTTTGAAAAAATGTGGACACACAAATTGGAAAAGAGGTATAAATGCAGCATTATAATCTAATGGGACCACCATCGCATAATTGGTCTGTCATTGACTGAAACTCCAATATGCAGTTTTTCTTAACATTTGCATATTAAAGACTCTATGACTATATATGGACATATATGACTCACCATTGTAAGACATTTTGATGTTATTCTAAGTGACGTGAAACCATTGGAAGCTTAGAACATGAGAGTGACATAATGTGATCATTTAAGATCACTTTGGCTGCTGAGGGGGAAATTATCTATAGGCAGGAAGGAAAAGAAGTAGGGAGTTCAGTTAGGAGGCTTTTGCAATAGTTCAGGCAATAGGTGGTCGTGACTGGTACAAGGTGATAGTAGTGCAAGTGGAGAGAAACAGTTTGACTTGGAATTAAACTTTAAGCTAGAACTGACAATATTAGAGTGTAGCTTGGATACACAATTTAAAAGAAAGAAAAGAGCCAGGTGTGGTACCTCACACCTGCAATCTCAGTTCTTTGCAAGGATGAGGCAGGAAGATTCTTTGAAGTCGGGAGTTCAAGACCATTCTAGGCAATATAATGAGACTCCCTCTCTACAAGAAATAAAAATAAAAAAATTAGCCAGGTGTGGTGGTGTGCACCTGTAACCCCAGCTTCTCAGGAGGCTGAGGCAGAACAATCCCTTGAGCCCAGATGCTTGAAGCTGCAATGAGCTATGATGACACCACTGTACTCCAGCCTGGACAATGGGACCCTGTCTCAAAAAGAAAGAAAGAAGGGGGGAGAGAGAGAGAGGAAGGAAGGAAGAAAGGAAGGAAGGAAGGAACAGGGAGCGCACGGGACGAGGGGAGGAAAGAAGAAGAGAAAGAAAGAAAGAAGAAGAAAGAAAGAAGAAAGAAAGGAAAGAAAGGAAGAAAAGAAAGAAAGAAAAGAACAGAAAGAAAGAAAGAAGAGAGAGACAAGAAAAGGAAGGCGAAGAAGAGGAAGGGGAAAGGAAAGGAAGGAAGGAAAGAAGGAAAGAAAGAAAGAAAGAAAAAGAGAAAGAGAAAGAGAAAGGAAAGGAAAGAAAAGGAAAAGGAAAATTCACTCCTAGATTTGGTCCTAAGTAGTAAGGATGAATCATGATGCAATTTTCTAAAAATAGCGAAGACTAGGATAAGAAAAGTTTTCTGGTATGAATTTTGTTTTGGATATGTTGAGCTTCTACCCATGCTAATGGGTATCCATTAGAGACATTAAGTTATCAGTTTCATATATGAGTCTGAAGATCAGGTAAGAGGTTGGAGCTAGAAACATAAACTTGAGAATCATCAGCATATATATGGTATTTAAAGCCATGAAACTGGAAGAGATTTCCCAAGAAGTGAATGTGTATAGAGAAATGATGAGCAAGAAGGACAGTTTGACAAGAATAAGGGGCAAAGAGGTAAAATATACAGTCAAAGGAAGCTAGGGATCAGATCATGTAGGTCCGGGTATGCTAGTGTGCACCTGTAGTCCCAGCTACTCAGAAGGCTGAGGTAAGGAGGATTGCTGGAGCCGAGGAGTTTGAGGCTACAGTGAGTGATGATCACACCACTGCACTCCAGCCTGGCCCATAGAGTGAGACCCCATCTCTAAAAAAGAGAGAGAGAGAGAGAGAGAGAAATGGTCAAGGAATGAGTGAGCTTGGGGGCCCTCCAACATTGGAGGCTTGGAGAAGAGGTGGATGCAGCAAAGGCAATGAGATGGGTGACTTATGAAATATGAGGAAACTCAGTAGAATGCGATTTAATATAAATGACATACTATGTGTTATAATTAGATAAAAAACAATTTTTATCTTTGACCTAAAGAAAGTACTTTTTCCTGTTAGTAGACCTGGGCTCTGGTAATTTCTATGTTTGTTTGCCTGAATCCTTTTTCCTCCAGAATTTAATTCAATTTGATGGTCCTTCCGTCTTTTTCCTTTTTTTTCTTTTTGAAACAGGGTCTCACTCTGTCACTCAAGCTGAGTGAAGTGATGTGATCATGGCTCGCTGCAGCCTCAACCTCCAGCGCTCAAGCAATCCTCCCTCCTTAGCCTCCCTAGTAGCTGGAACTACAGGATGTGGCACCATGCCCAACTAGTTTTTTTATTTTTTGTCAAGACTGGGTCTCACTATGTTGCCCAGGCTGGTCTCGAACTCACAAGTGATCCCCCTACCTCGGCCTCACAAAATGCTGAGATTACAGGTGTGAGCCACTGTGCCCAGCCACATTGATCATTTTCTTCTCCTTTGACCAATAAGTTACAACTACACTAGCAATCTTTGCTTCTGAAACATGCCAAGATTGTTCCTGACAAGATCTTTCCACTGCCTAGAATATTCTTTCCCCTGATCTTGGGTTGACTCTTATAGTCACTCAGTCCTTAGGTCACCTCTTCATCACCTATCTCTCCATTTGAAATAGCTATCTAGCATACCCTGGACAAATACACATTTCTGAGGAACAAAAGGCAATGGAGTCAGTTCAACTAGCAAATATTTTTTGAGCACTTGCTATGTTCTAGATAAACAAAAAAGACAAGGATGAATGAAACACAATTCAGGCCATCCATGAGCTCAAAAGTTTTTCAATTTCCAAAAATTTTCTATCAAAAGCTTTGTGTTTTTCTAACTGTAGTATCTGACTCTCAATCTTTTTCTGTCTTATCTTCTACAATCATTTTTGGTGTTTCCCACATCCACTGACAAAAACCATTAACATCCAGGACTCACAATTCTTTGACCTCTTTTGAAATTCCATGACCTCCATTTCACCTAAGATAACAGTCATCCTCAGGCTAAGCTATATGTCAAACTTAAATATGCCTTGAAAAATGCTACCTGCAAATCTCCATTTTAAAAATATTCTCTGATATTTATTTTCTGCACGTTTACTTTTCTCCTTCCTCTTAATCGAACTCACTGTTTGTTTTTATTGTAATCTCCAATTGACATGTCTCACTTCTCTCAGATTACATTCCAGTATGGTTTCATTTGTCTTGAAACTAACCTGGACACCATTATTTTAGCTCTTTGTTTGCTACCACCTCAAAATGTTCCCCTTTCTTGACTTTCATCATTTCTGCTAATCTGTACCACTACACAAATCTATATATTATTTCTATTCCTGTTTCTAGGCTGTCTGGAACTGCAGGAGAATATCACAAGGGTATGATTATGTGGTTCAAAACTCAATACCGTCTACCGATTTTCCAAATTAGGAACATAGGCATTATCCATTGACTCTAGTAACAAGTCTTGAAACCTACCTACTAAATAGGTTTCAAATCTGTCCGCTTCTATCCTTTCCTATTGCCACTGTCAAAATCACCATTATATCTCTAGATTATTACAACAACCTTTTAGGCTTAATCTATTTTTTCTTAAAACTGTTATCAGTGTGATATATTTTAAAATGTAAATCATATAGCTCATCTGTGTAACAACCCTTCATTGCTCCCTACTTTAAGGATAAACTTCCAACTTTGTAATAAGATCAACAATGCCCTAACTGCCCTGGCCCCTACCTACCTATCTAGCCTTATCTTTGCTATGGCCCTAGTCAAGTTGCATATATGCAACACATATACACACAGATTTGTTGAGATCAGGATTTGTTGCAGTCAGGATTGCATTACATCTATAGAATAGATCTTTTCCAGTATTGAGTCTTTCAAACTTGCTTTTCTTTTTCTAACTTTCTTAAGATGAGTTGATTTTTCAGCCTTTATTCTTTTTATAATATGTGTATTTAGGCGATTAATTTTTAAAATTTGATTAATTTTTCTGTGATCAC